GGCACAGAGCTTGTCTTCCCACACACACACACAGAAGTGCAGTGTAGCTCATTCCCCCTTCATTACACAGAGAACCAAAACACATCTCTTCATGTAGCAAGCCAAAAATTTCCATTAAAATATCAAAGCACTCTACAGAAAAATCTCTTTTACAGCAGCTTCCACTACCTCAGAAGCTTTATGCTTAACTCCAGGACCTTCCTGTAAGCCACTAAACTGCATCTCTCAGAACACTTTCCCCCCCTCCCCCCCCCCCCCCCCCATTTCAAAATGAGAAAAGTTGTACAAGCAATTCAGGTTTCATAATGAAGTGCTTATCCATTACAACTCAAAACACTCTCGACAAGCTCGCTCTGTTCGTAGGAACATCGCTTCATTTCACATTGCAGGGTTAATGAAACGTATCACTGAATTAGAAGACCAAAACGTCTTTATTTTTAGGTAGGTTTTCACATTGTAAGAGGAAATCCTATTGAGACCATAGCACTTTAATCAAGTAACATCCTTTATAAGCATTATTAAACACCAACTACAGAGTATCAGAGTGTGAAGTATTATCTCAACAGACTAAGAATTTTTACTTGAGAATGACAGTACAATACTTGGGAAATAATCCAAGTTCACCACTGTATGGGATGTTCTGCCATATGCATGTCTGCCTTTCGCTAAAGCAGCTCAGTAAGTTTTGAATGGAAACCACATTACATCATTTGTATATGTTTAAGAGCAATCCAAAGCATTCTCTCAAATACTAAATAAATTGTAAAGAGCAAATCTAACCCATTGCTATGGTCTACTGCTAAACATCTCTGAAGGCATCCTGGCCAGGCATCTCATGTAACTGAATTTTACCAGTTCCGTGTTCCATAAATACCGGTTTTGTCCAGATAACCAGGTCAGTAACTCATTCAAACTGCTAACTCCAAAAGCAAACAAAAAAAAATCAAGAACAAGAAAAAGTAGAGTAATCACATAAGTGTTTTAGAAATGGAAATTGTTTTGTCCAATTCCAGTTTTAGACTTAGGGGAAGATAGAGAAGTGCTTACAATCCTCAACCTTTAAAATCAGTGACACCTCAGGAACAGAAAAACTTTTTACAAGTTAAAAGGTACCAGAGCCAGAAGAGCTCAAGTAAAAACCATTTTTAGATAAAAGCAAACTTAAGAATGGCATTTCAAGTCCAAAGAACACATCTGAAGAAAACATTTTCCTGCTTGCATTTGGAATTCCAGGCTGGAAGCTAAAACCTCCCAGCATTCAGACAAAAGCGGCAACAAAACCCTAGCTAACCTCAAGGCGTAACAAGTCATTCTGATGTACAACTAGAGACACAGTTAGGGGGAAGAAAAGAAAAGTCACAGTTCAGGCTCTGTAATTAATGACAGCATTTTATTTCTCCAAGAATTTTCAGGCAGGTTGTTTCAGAAACTTTTTTATTCACTGACAACTCAATCCAGGTCTGCTCTTAACTTCAACTCTTACGTCCTGCTATTGCTACAAATGGAAAACAGTATTTTCTCATAAATTGATGTAGTTTCTATCTTAACCAAAAATAAGATTTCTCAACTCTATTTACTACGTAACTCAAATTAGAAATGTTAAGTTTTATAAAGTAAGATTTAAGGCAAAATTAACTGATTTATAACCTGCGTGAATTGCTTTGTTACTAAGCATTACTTTGTTACACCGAGTTTCAGTTTCCTGCACCCATATTTTACCAGTTACATTTCAAACAGGAAAATCCTGTCAACTAAAGGAAAGACTAGAGTCAGAATCAAGGAAACCTCAATTTCACCGGTTTTCTAATCTCCTAGGTAATCAAACCATCTCAACGAGCTCTGGAGCAGTTCTTTTGTACCAGCCAGTATCACCAGTCAAAAAAATAAAAAACCAACCACCACCACAGACCAGATGAAACTGGATTAGAGATGGAACACCGATTCTCCCTCCTGCACCACCGAGGCCAAGATGGATCAAATGCCACATTACGCTCAATGTATTTGGTTCCTCTTCTATCGATGTACAGGAGAAAACAGACAAGTAAAAGCCAGCTAACTCGATCCCCTAAAGTGTGAGGATGGAAGTCAATTGCACAATTCTAGTTTGGCTCTGTGAAAGCAAAAATAGTGTAAAAGGTTGAACTAAAGACACACATTTCTTAGGATGAAGGATTTTTTTTTTTTACTCTGGAGTCTTCATAGAAAGTACCAAAGTCAGGAAAAGTAAGAACAGAATACCTAAAGTTGATTGCACAACTACAGACAGTAAGTTTATTTTGCACTGTATGTCCCAAGCTATAGTTACAGCACCTTCTCAGATGACAGGAACCAGTCAAACAGTCCTATCGCCCCTGCAAACAGTGAAGTAAAATCTAAAACACCAACTAAAAAAATATCAGTTCCACAATTCATTTAAGCCACGTATCCAGGGTTATCTTGCCATCTCAAGAACAGATGAGAGAACGTGACTCAAAGCACAGCCTGTATTCTCATCCTACCACCACTATTTCTCATGTCTTCTACGCACTCAGAGCATGTCTTTTTAAGACCTGTCATTACAGAATTGTATTCTGTATTTGGCACTTATTCAGCTCCAAACTACCAAGTAAGTCTACCCCTGTGCCATCTCCTATTCTGCTACACCTCAATTCACCAGCAGGCAGTAGCAAGCTGAGCAACTGCTTCAAACTACTGACTCCTCACCTTCCTCCTGCTCTGCTCCCACAGCCAAAAACTTTAGGAGAACAACTTCCAGATGCTGAAACTAAGTGCTCATAGTCAGGAATGTAACAAGATATGACTAAGTTGAGATACTCCAATTATTAAAAGCATGCAGAATACAACTTCAGGGTGCTCCCTTAGTTCCTCAAAAGCACATAGTTGTGTTTGACTTAGTTGAAGTTGTTCCCTAGAAGTCTGCTTCCAACAGCAGAATGAATGTGGAACCTTACTTCTGCTTCCAAGAGGAGCTACGATTTATCTGTCAACTTATAGCTGGAAGGAGCAGTGGGAAAGGTGAGAATAACAAATCTCAAAAGATGTGGAAGTCTCCCTCTACACATTTGTTTTAGTAGACATTTACAATTATGTTTTAATCAATATAGTTTCAGAACCTAAGCACTGCCAGTTAAAATTTAGAGTACATCTTAGCATTGCTAATAAAAGCTCACAGCAGGACACAGACATTTTGAATAACTTCAATGAGTTCCAAAAACCAGCTTAGTAAAAAGCCAAGTACAGAATGGCGACAACATTCAGTGTCAAGAATTTAAAGTACTTATACTTAATATTTTGAAGTCCAGGCTATCATGATTTGACAGAAAGTTAAGTGAACAAGCACTAATCCTGTAACACAGAGGTGCCTCCATTTACATCCAAAATTCAACACATATTGCAAGCTATAAGAGAAGGGGGGAAAAAAACCAAAACACAATACAGCATTAATTGTAAGACTTGCAGACTCCTTGCAATGACAGAAGACTGGTGTTTGCCCAACACTGCACTTCCAGTTAGAGCAATCCAGCTTCACGCACACTTATATGAACTAAAAGCAGAATTTATAGTAACCCACTGTCTAAAAGAATGCATGACCATTAATAGGGAAGACTATGCATTTACTTAAGTGTTTCTTTTTTTAAGAGATTATGACTACTTACAATTTCATAGAAGTCTCATATATCTACACGTGCTACTAGACAGCCCACAGAGTCTACCAGAAAAGTGACAGCATACTGGTGAGGCTGAAGAGAGCCTCCTGTGCCAAAACCACCACCTCAAGGCTAGGAGCTAATTTCAGAACCTGCCGAGGGTTAGACCTCTCCAGATAAGTTTAGCCTGTAAATCAGTACAACACTTAAGTGATGATGTTTCAAAACTACCAGTCACACTTTTTACCTTCACGGAATTTCAGGTGCTCACTATCCCACCGACACCATTATCACAAAATGCAAAGACATGGTTTTTCATCCTCCAGAAAAGCACAGACGGCCTTACTACATGACAAAAAGTTACCAGCCTAACTGTATTTGAAGCTGAAAATTACTTACGTGGGGACTGACAGTATAAATCTCAGTTAATACACGAAGTTAAGAGAAGACAAAAAACCCCCACCTACCTTCACACTGGTTCCTTGGAAGAATCTTCCATCTTGTTTTTATCACATTTTCCAAGATTTGCAGTCCATAATACTGAAATTGGAGAAGAACAAAATGTGAGTATGTTACTGTAGGACTAACTAACTTTCAGGACTCTCATTCAATCAGACATTCACACTTAACATCTAAGACTTCAAGATTATTAAACTAACAATTTTATTAAATATTCGTCTATTCACCCATTTACTGAGGTTTCATGCACTTTTTTTTTTCTTGTTTTATTCTTCACTATACTAAGTCCTGCTGTTTGATCATGCTCACACCAGGAGGGGGACAGGGAATAATAATGAAAAGCCCTCTGGCAGACAATTTTGGCTATCTGGAAAAGAGAAAGTAGCAGCCAGATATGAATTTGCATCACAAATGACTGCTCATATGTTCAGGTATTAACACAACCAGACTCCTAAAATATTTATCAGCTTGGATAGTCTCAAGCTTCCTATCGTTCCTCTAAGAGCTGAAAAAAACAACAACAAAAAAATTGTCTTATCATCACATGTCCTGACACTGGAACCTTCCAAAGAAAGTATTTCCCAAACTTCACTGGTGCATTACTTTAGGAACAGCAAGACAACCCACAGGTTTATTTAATTTCAATACCCACCCCAATATGGAAGCTATTTCTACTATTTAAAGATGAACTTTTGTGCTCAGTCAAAGAATAATAAAAATGTGAATAAGCTCTTGGAAATCCCTTTACCTTTCAGGAATTCCTTCCTACGTTCTTACTCAAAACTGTTACATTTGCAAAGTAATTGGTAAGGTCAGTCCCTCTGCCCGTTCATCTCTACTGCCAACTCACAGTAACAGGGAAAGAAGTTTGATTATAAGATCTAAGAACTTTAATATGTAAAACCCCATTAGCATGAACAGACAGGAGAGAAAAGGGGACAAGGAGTTTGGCATTTACTTTATCTGCAGTGGATTAGGAAGAAAAAAATATCACATCTATGCCTGAAAGGTAAGCTCAAGTTTTCACAGTTAAAAGTTTGGCTGAGAATAAGAGTTCCTCTTTAAAATGGTTAGTTCTTATACAAAGTAGGATCATTAGTATTTCAACCAAAGGGATCATATAAACTTCAATTTAATTAAAAAACACAATGTAGACTGTCCCAAACTACATTGTATGAAAATACTATTTTTGCTGTTCTCATCTTAGCATAACCTATATCCTCTTGCTTCCCTATCCGACCCAAGTTCCCACAAGCTTCATGTGTACATCCTTCATTTGCAAAATATTCTGTCACCTTCCAAAATCCTGGATACCAAGAACAATTTTACATTAACAGAAAGTTGGCAGGGTATTTTTTTTTTTTTCATGGTCAGCAGCAAAAGTTTATCAACTAGATTTTAATCTGTAAATTTACTTAATTACTTAACATAAAAGCTAAATGAAATCAATGGAATGTTCATATAGGAAAACATATGAAAACATTCTTAAGCAAAATGCTTCACTTCACGGGAGGGGATTTCAGCCACTGCTATAGATTTATAGACACCATCTGCACCTGATCCAGGCTCACAATACAAAACATATTTACAGAAGCTTCTAACAATGTTGAAAGTATGAACACTGATACCAGACTGTGCTAACTTTCCCGAAGCAGCTCTAAACTCTAGTTAAATTTCTAGATTCTACATGCAGATGTATTCACTGCCCCTTCAGGTAACAGCTAACAAAAAAAAATGACAGTTTTGCTTCCAAATTTTTTTTCTACATATCAACTTTAAGATTTTAGCTTTTAAGACTAGAATAGCAAGTCTAGTTTCATTTTACAAAAGCACTAGATGACTAAACAAAACTTAAATGAAAATCCTGACATAAACTGAGGACAAATCTCATCTCTATAGTCTTCCTCCCCCCCCAGCTTAAGATTTCTTCTGAGTCAAAGAAAAGGACACCTCTAGCAATTTGCCACACCTATCCCTCACTATCTGCTCAAATAACTAATTCAGATTCAGGTACCCTAAACTGTGAAGAGGTTCATGCTGTCTAGGTTTCTACTCATTCTTCTATACATACATGACTCCAGTTCTGCCCTCTGCTAGTGTCTTGTTCATCTCTTCCTCAGTACTAGTAATATTCATTTTTCCTAACACTCACACATGAAATGAAATGGCAGCAGCAATAAAATCACTGGATACATTTTTCACCTACACATCCTTCTTGCCATACCACATCTGAAGGCTTCATCAGCCTGCCTGAACGCTCTGCAAGGGGCTTTCTGAGTGCTTTTTTGTTTTGTTTTTAAGCTTCATTTGATTTGATGGTTCTAATTTTTGGTATTTCCCTGATAATAAGATACACCAATCCCCAAAAATATCACTGACATCAATTACAAGTTTTGCCATTTGAGCTGTTAGAAGAGTACTTTTTAGTCAACTACTGCAACAGCACACGCAAACATGTTTAAAATGTGCATAAAATAGAAGTCTTTCAAAATTCATTTGCTCTTGGTTTGCTTATTTTTAATTGTCTAATAGCAATTCACTGCCCAGTTATGAAGATGAGGGACAGGTAACAGCAAAGACTGAAAAAAAGAAAAAAAAAAAAGGCATGAAATGATCCCTATGGTAGAAATCTCTATGGTACCCTTATTACTTATTCTATGCACCAAATCCCTTTCCCTCCCACCTCCCAAGAAACAAAAACAATTGATGAACAGAATTCAGTTAAAGGGAATCAAAAGGGTAGACCTTGTGGAGGCCTGCCGTCAAAGCCTAGCTGTGTCAGTTGCACAGGAAGACACCCCTTTTCTTCCTATTACAAGCAATCAACATAATGGAACATTATGATTAATATCAGGTAGTGTTAACAGCTTTAATTAAAGAAAAAATATGATTGCATAAAAGCCAAATGTCATAGTGCATAAATTTAGCACCAAATAATTTGCAATTTATGTAAATTGAAGAATTCTTTACCTGTTGCTTTCTTTCTGTTCCTCTAATCATCTCATTTTTCACAAGACAAATTTGAGTTTTTAAAAATACTGTTGATAAATCAACTTAAACATTAGTAATGTCTGTCAGTATAAAAAGCAAAGTTTACCAGGCAAGCAAACAGGCAAACACTGTTACTTAAAGGTTAGCACTTTGAGGAAGTTCTTTGAACTGTTTTTCCCTAAGCTTCAGAGAGCAATGAAAAAAAAATGGAACTGTTTTATGAATACTGCCTGATTTCAGAAACCATCCAAACATGATTATTTTCTGTTCGAACACAGCGTGTATCAAGCAGAAAGACATGCACATCAGTTATTTGAGATAAAAATCATCAAACTTAAGACAGTGAAAACACATTTCAACCAACTTTTCAGTTCAAACTTCAGAAGTCTCTGGTAAAGCATCTAAAATTGTAGAATAAAAACCCCCAAAAAATAATGCTGCCCCTTTTAGTCACAACCATGATGGATGGATTTAAAACAGCAGTACAAAGCAAACATGTCTGCATATTAGTAAAGAGTAATCTTGTACTACAAAGAGTTTGGGGTGCTTAACTTCCATTGACTGTTCAAAATCTTGGCCTAATAAGGTATCTGTTTTGTCTTTAATGCACCTAGGGACAAATTCTCTCCTCATTTACATGCAAATGGCTCTCATTATGATCAAAAACAGCCAAGCACTTACCCAAGGACAAAATGTGGCTCTAGGAGACTTTTCATTGCTCCAGTGTATACAGACACACACCAGTCTTTGGAAATAGCATTATGCTTGTATGTGCCTTGGAAAAAAACCTGCATTTCCAATTTAGCTCTCAAGAAAAACTCTTGTCAATGTAAAAGGAGGTTTAAATATTTTATCCATTTACAGTTCTTGTTTAAAGCCAACTTTGGGAACAAGACAATAAAAATGTTGTTTGAATCAAGAAAGCCTATGGCTAAAAATGAGACACCTTCCTCAAAGTTTATGAATGGAAGAGAGAGGAAAACCAAATAAATAACAGTTAATTTGCTTACTTTGGTATTCATGTTCTGAGAGAACTCCAAAATAGTATCAACTCTTGTCCACGCATCAGGATGTTCTTTTAAGTGAGTCAAGACTTCCTGTGCCATTCTTTGCTAAAAAAAAAGTTTGATTTAAAAAGTATTAATGTTAGATTATTTAAGACATTATATACTGTCAGTGACTATATAACATGTCTTTAAATCACTTATCCAAGAGTTAGGCAGAGTCCAATTAGGAGCAACAAGTCCCTGAGCCTCCTTCTGTGCGACAGTTAAAGTTTATTAACAACCAAACACCAAAAACACCTCAATGCAAGAGATTCACTCGCTTACTTCCTCTCTTCCACACTGAATGATTCACCTAGACCAGCAGTGACCGTGTGAGAGCAGCACACGTTAGAAGGAAAACACACTACGGAATGAAGTTTCCTGACAGTCAATAAAGTCACCTACACACGATTTTATCCAAAGGCACACAAACTTTCTAGTTCTACTGGAAGCATTAATATAAAATACCAGCTTTAAGGAGTACTGTAACATGCTGCAAAGCTGTTGATGTAGTAACTGTTTTATTTTGAAGAACCACAGAGCAGAGCAATAGGTCCCCAATCCCTACTTCTGAGGAATCCCTTGACATATCTAACAGTTTACAAAACAATAATAAAAAAAGATTGTGGGGGCAGAAGGGAGTTGGTCACACTAATGGTTTGCTTTTCCCTGGGACTGCCATTACCAATTATCATACTAGATACTATGTTTCAGTAATTTGCAAAACCTCATCTGAAGTAATGACATGCTAAAATAGCTGAATACATTTTAGCTGTCCTTTTGAAAAGCCTGGATGTCCGGAAGCATTTTAGGGAGCCAAAAGATGTTAGCCATTCCCAAGAAGGCAGTACTGACTAATCTTGCTGCAAATTATATCACCCACAAACATCACTGTCTTACTAGCAAGATAAACATTTTACATCACAATTAAGAGAACTTTGTTCATTCCTTCACTGCACTGTAGGGCCAACTCAATGGAATTATACAAAGCAGTTAAAGCCTTACTTTAGGATTAAATTCAACAGTTACAACTTACTACAGCTATGCAGATTTCTAGTCTGCTACAAAAACGTACTTAAGCTAATCATCAACTGGTGTAAGAAAACGTATTTTCAGTAAAACTCCATCAAGATCCAACATA